AGGCTGCACCCCAGACAGAAGCCGCAGAGGGTCCCCTTCAACTAAATACAGCCCTTTCTTGCTTCAAATATCTTTATCATGTAATGGTTTGAACAACTAATAATAATAAAAATTTAAAATATATATATATATATATATATATCTTTATCACTCCCCTCTCAAGTGCTTCTGGGACCAGAACAGTAGCAAGCCAAATACTTTGAAAAAACAGCTGTCCATCAGACACCCTGAGCGGATCCCTTTTTGCCAGTAGATGGCCCCCTGGGGTGTTGGAGAACCCCCAGGCATCTGGCCAGTGGTGAATGGACTTGCACAGGCAGATTCCAGTGTGGACAAACCACCAGTGAAAACTGTCGGGACCAGGCGAGGAAGCGAGGAAGTATGCCCTCCAGCTACAGCTCTGGCTTTGCCCTGCTCTGGAGCTCAACTTCCTCAGCCCCCTGGTCACATCAGTCCTGCACCTGCACCTGCACTGCAGCACCTGAAGACAGGTGCTCTCCACACACAGCCCTGAGGAAGAACTTCATGGTGTCCGCTTTTCTGTTCCTGAGCCAATCAATGGGGCAAGAGCAGCTCGGCTAGAAAGGGTCAGGCCTGGGGTGTAGTCACAGGATTAGCAGGTGTGAGGAACAGAGGGCTCCTGCTATCACAATCCTGTCAGCAGCCTCCAAGATGGCCCTCAGTGACCCCATCCCTGCTGTCCACACCCTGAGGGAGTCCCTCCCACACGGAGCCAGAGTGGGTCTCAGTGACCATGGCACTATGTGCGTGGTGGCAGTCATGGGCTACCACTCCTGAGATTAAATCTCAAAGGGCTGGGTCTTGCATCTGGGCCTCTGACTGCTAGTAATTGGCTTTGGGCAGCCTGCTGCTATGTCATGAGTAGCCCTGAGAAAGCCACCTGGCAGGAACAGAGCCTCAAGTGATAACAGCTAGGCCTCTCACCCTGACCAGCTCCCAACTTCAGAGACCCAGCAAGGTGAGTCTCCAGGTCGTGGGTTTGAGGAGTTCCCCATGGAGAGCACACAGCCCTCACCTTTGGAAGTCCCTCCTAAGGGCCTGTCAGAAACCCACACCAAGTCTAAAGGAATGTCAAAAACTTGATACCTATTAGCCAAATCCTACTTTAAAAAATATTTTTAGTTGTAGATGGACACAATACCTTTATTTCATTTATTTATTTTTTAATATGGTGCTAGGGGGCTGGGGATGTGGCTCAAGCGGTAGCACGCTCGCCTGGCACGCGTGCGGCCCGGGTTCGATCCTCAGCACCACATACAAAGAAAGATGTTGTGTCCACCGAGAACTAAAATAAATAAATATTTAAAAATTCTCTCTCTCTCATCTCTTTTTAAAAAAAAAAAGAAAAATGGTGCTAGGATCGAACCCAGTGCTTGCTAGGCAAGCCCTAACCCCAGCCCTATCTTTTCTTCTTTTTGTATCAGGGATTGAATCCAGGGGCTCTTAATCACCAGCCCTTTTTATTTTATTTATTTATTTGTTTATTTTTGTACCGGAGATTGAACTCAGGGGCACTGGATCACTGAGCCACCTCCCCAGCCCTTATATTTTATTTAGAGATAGGGTCTCACTGAGTTTCTTAGTGCCTTGCTATTTGCTGAGGCTGGCTTTGAACTTATGATCATCCTGCCTCAGTCTTCCAGGCCTCTGGGATTACGGTGTGCACCACCGTGCCCAATCCTTTTTAAATTTTGTTGTTTGTGGGCTGGGGATGTGGCTCAAGTGGTAGCACGCTCACCTGGCATGCGTGCGGCCTGGGTTCAATCCTCAGCACCACATACAAACAAAGATGTTGTGTCCACCGAAAACTGAAAAATAAATAAATAAAAATTCTCTCTCTCTCTCTTAAAAAAAAAAAAAGAAAGAAAAAGAAACTGATGTGACTCCAAAAAAAAAAAATTGTTGTTTGTTTTGAGATAGGGTTTCACCTTACTAACTGCTGAGGCTGGCCTCAAACTTGCAGCCTCCTGATTCCCTGAGATTACATGAGGCACTGGGTTCAATCCACAGCACCACATAAATTAAGTAAAATAAAGACTAAAAAAGAACAAAATCTGTGTACAAAGTCTTGTTGTACATATGATGAGTAAGACCCAGATAGGTGATAGCTAGGAGGGTCAGGATGTGGCTCAGGGGCACAGCACTTGTCTAACATGCCAGAGGTCCTGGGACAGACCTCCAGCACCCCTGCCCCCAAAAAGAGATGTGAGAAGTTGTTTCCTAAGAATCATCTTTGGTTCAGAAACAAGATTTACTGAGGGGTGGGGTTGTGCTCAGAGTAGAGCGCTTGCCTAGCATGTGTGAGGCACTAGGTTTGACCCTTAGCACTACATAGCCTGCTGCTATTTAGTGTCCACCTATAACTAAAAAATAAATCTAAAAAAAAAAAAGATTTACTGAGATCCACAGACATGAACTTGTTTTTGAAGCATTCCTCAAGTAGTATTTTACAGACACCATCCCAACACCAGACTAGCGTTTGGCCACAGACCCCCATCCAGCTTCAACAAGCTGAGCACTCCAGTGTCATGACCACAGGAGCCATGACCACAGCACACAAGACTTTCAGAGGCCAGCTGGGGAGAGAGCACCAGGCTAAAAAACAGTTCAAATTTAGTTGAGGCCACATTAGGAAGAAGCAAACAGTTATTTGTTCAAATATTAATAAGGAAGCCTATGGGGCTGGAGATATAGATAGTGCTTGCCTAGCATGCCACAAGGCCCTGGGTTCATTCCCCAGCACCACCAAAAAGAAATAAATAAAACAAAAAGCTTTTAGTTTAAAAAAAAATAAGGAAGCCTAGATCTTTTATTTATTTATTTTAGTTATAGTTGGACACATACCTTTATTTTTATGTGGTGCTGAGGATCGAACCCAGTTCAATGCTAGGCAAGCGCTCTACCACTGAGCCACTACCCCAGCCCCAAGAAAGGAAGCCTAGATCTTAAAAAGGACCCAAAAGATCAACTTTTTTTTCAGAATTTTTTTTGAGGGGGTGGGTACTAGACATTGAGCCCGGGGCAATCTACCACTGAGCACATCCCCAACGCTTTTTTTTTTTTAGTTGTTGATAGACCTTTATTTTATTTATTTATACGTGGTGCTGAGAATCGAACCCAGTGCCTTACACATGCCAGGCCAATGTGCTACCACTGAGCCACAGCCTCAGCCCTCCAATGCTTTTTATTTTTTACTTTGAGACAGATCTTCCTAGGTTGCTGAAACTGGCCTTCAGCTTGTGATTCTCCTGCCTCAGCCTCTGAGCTGCTGGGCTTACAGTTGTGCACCACTGCACCTGACTTTTTTCAAAAATGTTAAAATATTATTCCTGTTTTGTAGATAAGACAATGAGGATCCAGGAGCAGCTTGTCTGAAGCCCTTGGGCTGTTGACGGAATCAGGCCCAGGCCCAGGCCTCCTCCATGTCAACATGGAGCAAAGACAGAGCTGAGTAGGGACCGTCACTCTGCTCACGGCTCCTTCCAACAGTCTCAACATACCCTGTGATGCCTTCCCCTTAATGGACTGAACGTCTGGTGCTACCTGGCACCTGGTGCCAGGAGAGCCATCCACAAAGCTAGGAAGCCCTGACTCAGACCATTCCCCAGATATGCAAGGACCAGACGGTGCAGGGAGCCAGGCTGACACTTCCTTGACTGCCAGGGTCAGCAAGCCAAGATGTTAACAAGGAAGCGAGAATGAGTGAACACAGTGCAAGTGTCTGAGAGAAAATAAAACCCTACCCAGTAGGGCAGCGGGCTGCGGAGTGAGCCTGAGGTTGAAGGACAGTCCAGGCAGCTGGCCTGCTGGATACGTAGTCCTGACTACCCAAGGCCTGTGACATGGTGGGACAGCAGAAATCACCATTCACCTCTCGCCTGCAGGACCTGGGGCACAGCCTCTGGACCAAGAGTTGATAGTCTCTTTCCCAGGCTCTCATTTCTCATGACACCTTCATAATAATTCCTGGATGCAAACAGCTTCTGGCTCATGAATGGCTTTCACATACATTTACTGCATTTTATCTTTGCAGCAACTCCGTGGGAAGCCCAAGGCTGATATTAGCGTGTCTTTGCAAATAATTATTATCCCCATTTTACTGATGAGAAAATTGAGGCTGGGAGTATTAACAACTTGCTCAAGGGGCTGGGAAGGACAAAACTCAGGGTCTTTCCCCAGAGGCTTCCAACACCTTGCTTCTGAGTGAACCACCAGGCAGTGGCCCAACAGCAGTGGCTTTATTTCAAACATTAATAGGCCTGCTTCTTACACTCACACCACAACATGCAAATTCATTAGAGGCTCTGAGTCACAAACTCTGTAAACACACAGGCAAGAAGGGCTAGGGTTCAAGAAAATCTTTGGAAGTCTGAATGCAGTCACAAGACAAGGCTGGGGAGAGTACAGGGGGACAGAGCCAGGGGGAGGGAAAGTGGGTGAGGAAAAACCCTCTGACCTGGTCTGTGAACCAAGGAAAGGACACAAAGTGCATGAGGAACAGGGAAGATGGATGGATCGGGGAGATTATAAGAGAGGGGCTGGGGATGTGGCTCAAGCGGTAGTGTACTCGCCTGGCAGGCATGTGGCCCGGGTTTGATCCTCAGCACCACATACAAAAAAACAAAGATGTTGTGTCCACCGAAAACTAAAAATAAATAAATAAATACTTAAAAATTTCTCTCTGTCTTTAAGAAAATATAAGAGAAATGGCAGGAAGAGCAATCAGTACTGACTCAGCAGTCCTGGGCCTAGGGACTACTCTCTCCACAAGCCCACAGAATAAGCCACACACACAGGGAGCACTAGCTGGTGCAGAGCTTAATGCAGGCAGGCAGGACACCTAACACTCACCCAGGCCTTTCAGGTTCAGGTTGAGGCACAGGGCAGGTGTGTGTGGCCCCTGGTTTGCCAGGCCCAATAGTGAGTGCAGGCCCAGGCAGTCAGACCACCTTAGAAGCTGCCACCAACTTTAACTGTGATCTTGGGCGTGGTATCTTTTAATTTTTCTGAATCATTTTCATTATAACATAGTGATATCAGAAGTATTTACTGAGTTGTGAATATCAACAGTGTTTGATGTGGAGCCAGACACTACTCAGCACTCCAAAATATTGGTTATTGTTATAATTGTTCATTATAAACCTGGGAACAGAAATACAGAGATAAGTGTAAGTCACTGTAACCCTTCTCTGTAGCAGATCCGACTGCTCTTGGGCACTCACTCTGGACCTGGGTAGACCCCATACCCAGTGGCCCTCGCGTCTGCACTGGGTGGATAGCAGGGACTTGCCTGGGCTAGGAATGCAGCTGCCACGGGATGAGACAACAGATCCCTCTCCCCATTGGGGAGCAGTGCCTCCGCATTTCCCATGAGCATCGTGGGCTTATGCAATGCCTGGGCCATAAGTCTGGCAGGGTGCCATGTGACTTCCAGAGGTGAGTCAGCTGCCTCCAGCAGGGTGCAGCTGAGCTGGTCCAAGATGGCTATCCACATAAAACCAAAGGTCTGCAAAAAAGATACTCCACTCCTGACCAAACTATGGAGTGGTTAATACTCTCCTTTCTAAAAGTTGTTAATCTGCTCTTCCTGCTACAGATTGAAGTTTTTGTTTCTGGGCTTCCAAGATTGAAGGAAAACAACTGTTCCCTTCCTGTGCACACTGACCCTTGGCAGCTTGAGCTCGCGTTCCTCAGCCTTCTCTGGCCAGTGAACGACTAACCTGCCCTTGATCAGCAACTTGTGGCTTGGGAAGGCCTCCTTCCTTCTTTTCTGAGATAGGGAATGCAGATCTGGGTGGAGTTTTACTCAAACATAGGCTGGGGCACGCGTGGGTGGTCAGGCTGGGATCTCAGCCACCCGGAGGATTATAAGTTCGAGGTTAACCTCAGCAAGTCGGCGAGACCCTGTGACAAAAAAAAAAAAAATCAAAAAAGTGCTGGGGATGTAATTCGGCAGTAAAGCACCCCGGTCCAATCCCCAGTACCAAAAAAAAAAAAAGGCTGCAACAGAAACGCCCGGAGATGGCTTCCCGCTGGAGGGCGCGGCGTCAAGTCCCCAGGCCGCAGACCTGCGGAGTGTCCGGCACGGGAGTGTCCGGCGGGTCGACGTCGCCGGGCTCATGGTTGGACTCCAGGGCGCTTAGTAAATCGTCGGGCCTCCTGAATTGGGATGCTCACGGGTCGCCGGCGAAGACCAGAAGGCCACAAACGCCAGGCGCCCGAAGGTTGCAGTTCCAGACCTCTACTGGAACCGGAAAGCGTCGCGAAGGTTCACCCCGATTTTCCCCGCCGCAGACCGCGCAGGCGCCGGGACTTACCTCCACCCCGCGCCACCGCCCCGACGCGCAGGCGCCTTGAGGACTTACCCCGCCCCGCCCCGAACGCGCCGGCGCCCCCGAGGTGCACCACTGCGCAGGCGTGGCCCCGGGACCATGGCGGCCGCGTTGCTGCTCCTGCGCGCCCTCCGCCGAGGACCCTGGCCGGGTCCGGGGCGGCTCTGGGGCTCGGGCCTCCTCGCCGGGGCTGGGAGCAGGCGGCCGTACGTGGTCCGCAGGCCCCCGGTGGGTGTCGCCGAAGATGGCGGCCGGGCCCTGCAGGTAACCTCGCCGCAGCGGCCCGGGCCCCGGGTGGGGTCCATCCTTTGACCCGCCTCCTTGGCCCGGCCCGGGGCTCGCCGTTTCCGGCGCGGCTGGCGCCCCCCGGGCCGGGGGGGCGCGTTGGCGTGGCCGCGGGCTCGTTACTGACGGAACGCCCCGCCCCGCCCCGCGGGAGAGCCTGCGCCGCGAGCCGCGCCGAGCGCGCCCCTCCGGGCTGCAGACGTCGCGGGGACGCGCCTGCGATCTTTCTGGAAAGACAGGCGCGATCTCGGCTTGCGGTGCCCCGCTCTCACGTCTGTGTTTATTTTTCAGAGTTTGCAATTGCGAACGCTAACCCCAACCTTTGAAGGGATCAGGGGATTGTTACTGAAACAGCATCTACTTCAAAATCCATTCAGACTCTGGCAACTTTTAGGTGTGTATCTATTGAAACTTCAGTGACAGTGACGGGGCAGAGGTAGTGGCATTGGTGAATACACTGTCTTGCTCCCATCAGTGATGAACCACGTGGAGAAGAGTGGATCCTGCTACCTCCCCTTGCAGGGCTGCAGCCTAGGAGCCTAGGCCTGGGCGTGTAGCAGGTGCTGCCATCTAGGATGGAGTCGCTTAGGGAAGCACCTCTCTCCCAATGTGTCCTCGCCGTCAGAGTGACGTATCCCTGGTTAGGATAATGGTACCAGCTTGACATTGACAAGAAAATGGGAACAATCACAAGAGGACCTTTGTCCTCTATTTATTATGAGTCCTGTGAGAGCCACAGTCTAGATAATTCGAAATGAAGTTTTTCAAAAGGGGAGTTTTGTCGAAGGCCCAAAAGATGATTTTGTTTTGAGGTTTTTGGCACTGGCAATTGAATCCAGGGGCACTCAACCACTGAACCACATCCCCAGCTTGTTTTTTATCTATTTTTTAAATATTTTTTTTAATATTTATTTTCTAGTTTTCGGTGGACACAACATCTTTGTTTGTATGTGGTGCTGAGGATCGAACCCGGGCCACATGCATGCCAGGCGAGCGCGCTACCGTTTGAGCCACATCCCCAGCCCCTATTTTTTTTAAATATTTTTAGTTGTAGATGAACACAATACCTTTATTTTTTTTAATGTGATGCTGAGGATGGAGCCCACTACCCCTTGTGTGTGAGGCAAGCATTCAACCACTGAGCTACAACCCCAACCCCATTTTTTTTATTTTTTATTTAGTGACATGGTCTTGCCAGGTTGTGTAGGGCCTCACTAAGTTGCTGAGTTTGGCTTTAAATTTTGATCCTCCGACTTCAGCCTCCTAAGCCACTGGGATTATAAGCCTGTGCCAAAATGCCACCCCCTTTTCTTTTTTTCTTTGAGAAAAGGCCTCACTAAATTACTGAAGCTGGCTTTTGAACTCCTGACCCTCCTACCTCAGCCTCTTGAGCCACTGGCTTTATGGGCATGCACCACATGCCCGGCTGTAGTTGGCTTTCTTTCTTTCTTTTTTTTTTTTTTTTTTTTTTCATTGCAAATGGTCACAATACCTTGATTTAATTTATTTATTTTTGTGTGATGCTGAGGATCAAACTGAGGGCTTCACGTACTCCAGGCGAGCACTCTACTACTGAGCCCCAGTCCATAGTAGGCTTTCTTGGAAAAGGTTTTTATTATTATCTAGTTAGCTCCCAGAACATCGTAGTAAGTATCTATAAAATGGCTCCAAATGTTTTATATCCAGAGGGTAATTAAAAATACCCTACAACCGGCTGGGCATAGTGGCACACGCCTGCAATTCAGTGGCTCTGGAGGCTGAGGCAGAAAGATCACAAGTTCAAAGCCAGCCTCAGCAACTTAGTGAGGCCCTAAGTAACTCAGCGAGACCCTGTTCCTAAATAAATTTTATATAAAAAAGGGCTGGGGATATGGCTCAGTGGTTAAGCACCTCTGGATTCAATCCCCAGTACCAAAAAAAAAGTACCCTACAAATAATTTGCTTGTTGTTGGAGTGCACCATTGAGTGAAACACTGTGACATTCTGCAGCCTCTTTGAACTTAGGTTCAAGGACCTGGAGAATTGAGGCCATAATTTCACTCCTTCTCACCCAGCTGAAATGGGGAAAGTGAACTAGGTAGACTAATGTGGTCAGAAAGTGCTGTGCCTACCGATTGGTTGTGCCTCAGCATGTCATTTATGTGTTTCAGTGCTTCATTTGTGCCCAGTGGCGCTTAGACAGGAGGCCCATACCCCAGCCCTCCAGAACTCCCCGATCTTGGTTTCACATGACAGTCAAGGTGGTCTGCTTGGCATTCTATTAAAGTTTGTGAAAAATGTTGCAGTTGAAGTCATGGTTGTGATAATTCCCCATTTATTCAGAATTGGGATAAGACCAGAGGTTTCCCAAGTTTTCTGGGACAGTGCCTGGGTTGCTGCTTTTGTCACATGTGCCAAAGCCACTTATGTTGTTCCTTTGTTTAGTTCTGTTTATAGCAATGTAAATGATTGTTCTCTAACAAAATATAACGTTTTTTCCAATTTATGTTCCAGACATGTTTTTTTTCAGTGCTAGTGATAGAACCCAAGGCCTTGCAAGTGCTAAGCTCTACCACTGAGCTATTCTCCCTTTTATTTCCTCATGTTAACAAATTTAAGTAGGAGAGGTATTTGACCTCATATGTTGAAATAGTTTGTTATTTTCTAATTAGCAGATACAGTACTGGGAATGATGAAAGGGAATATTTCATCTCAGACTTACATTTTTTTTTTTTATAAATAGATTCTTTTTTTTAAAAAAGAGAGAGTGAGAGAGGAGAGAGAGATAGAGAGAGAGAATTTTTTTTTAATATTTATTTTTTAGTTCTCGGCGGACACAACATCTTTGTTGGTATGTGGTGCTGAGGATCGAACCCGGGCTGCACGCATGCCAGGCGAACGCGCTACCACTTGAGCCACATCCCCAGCCCAGACTTACAATTTTTTTAACCTTTATTTTATTTATGTATATTTCTGTGGTGCTGAGAATTGAACTCAGTGCCTCACGCATGCTAAGCAAGTGCTCCACCACTGAGCTACGACCCCCCACCCCAGAGTTAACAACTCTTGTAGACACAAGTTTCAGGTGGTTTTTGTTGTGATTTGGTTATTTGAGAATGTTTTGTTCTCTGTGTGTCTCCCCTGTAGTTGGAAATCTTGCTTAGGTTCTTTCCCTGTTGCTTGTAGGTGGTACTTACTATTTCAACACCTCAACGATGAAGCAGAAAAATAACGACAATGATAAATCCAAGAGGAAGGCCCCTGAAGATGACGAAGGTATGCATATCTGGGGTTCTGACACAGTGGCTCCATCTGCTTGTCCTCACGTGTGTTCGCCACTTGGCAAGGTGAAGCCTATGTGGTACAGCGAGGGGAGCCTGGGGACTGTGGGTGCTGCCCTTGTGCCCCCGCCCACACCTCTGTCTGACTGCTGGGTCCTTTGTGCATGTTGTGTGGAGATGTATCCATGGACACCTGTGCCTCTGCACAGAAAGTGTGAGTCTCAAATCTACCCCAGGAGTACCAGAGTGCCTTGGCTGAAATAGCCCTAACCACCTGTTCAGTGTTGCCACGGTCCCTGGGCTTGGGAAGCAGGCCCCAGAGGAAACAGTGAGGAGGAAAGGACAGTTGAGTAGGACAGACGAAGTCCAGTGTAAGAGTTACCTTTGCGAACCAGTCAGTCTGCCCCACTCTGAACCACAGCTGACTCGCTGCTCACTTGCAGAATCTAAGGGTCTCACCTTTCCTCTAGACTTAGGGCTCCTTCAACAGTGTGAGGGATGAAAGAAATAAAATAGGAAGTTTGGCTTAGTTTCTGAGACCTCTAAGATAAAGCTGGGTTTTTGCTTTTAGCCGTTTGGCACTAATAATAATGATGGAAATTGTCACTCCTTAGAAATTATTGGTGTGTGCTTCACATTGTGGTGAATGATTTACATACTTTATTTTTTTTTTAAGGCAATTCTTTTTTTTTTTTTTTTTAATATTTATTTTTTAGTTCTCGGCGGACACAACATCTTTGTTGGTATGTGGTGCTGAGGATCGAACCCGGGCCGCACGTATGCCAGGCGAGCGCGCTACCACTTGAGCCACATCCCCAGCCCTACATACTTTATTTTTAAATGGACACAGTATCTTGGCTGGGGCTGGGGCTGAGTGGTAGATCACTTGCCTCACAAGTGTGAGGCCCTGGGTTCGATCCTCAGCACCACATAAAAATAAATAAATAAAAATAAAGATATTGTGTCCATCTACAACTAAAAATTTTTGCTATGCAAGTGCTCTACCACTGAACCACAACCCCGCCCACTCTTATTTTTTTAGGCAGAGTCTACTAAGTTGCTTATGTCCTTGCTAAATTGCTAAGACTAGCCTCAAACTTGCCATCCTCCTATCTCAGCCTCCTAAGTTGCTGGGATTACAGACATGCACCAGCACACCTGATCTATCTCTTGTTTTTTTTTGTTTTGTTTTGTTTTGTTTTTTATTTTGATACTGGGGATTGAACTCAAGGGCACTTTACCACTAACCTACATTCTCAGCCCATTTTATTTTATTGTTTTAGTTGTAGATGGACATAATTTTTTATTTATTTATTTTTATGTGGCGCAAAGGATCAAACTTAGGGCCTCACACATGCTAAGCAAGTGCTCTACCACTGAGCCACAACCCTAGTCCTAACCTTTTTATTCTTTATTTTGAAACAGGACCTTACTAAATCCCTGAGGTAGGCCTAGAACCACCAGTCCTTCTGTCTCAGTTTCCCGAGTTGCTGAGATTACAAGTTACATGCCACTGTGCCCGTCTTAAGATCACAAAATAAACTTCATTCAAATGGAATGTGTTTAACTGGAGAGAAGTTTGTTGATAGGTAAAGAATTGGGATCATGCTGGGCACAGTGGTACAAACACCTGTAATCCCAGCAATTCAGAAGGCTGATGCAGGAGGATTACAAGTTCAAGGCCAATCTCAGCAGTTTAGCAAGACTAAGCAATTTAGCCGGACCCTGTCTCACAATTTAGTACGAAAAATGATTGATTGATTGATTGATAGATATCAGAGATTGAATGAACCCAGTGGTGCTTAAACCACTGAGCCACATTCCAGCCTTTTATTTGAGACAGGATCTCATTAAGGCCTGGCTAAATTGCTGAGGCTGGCTTTGACTTGAGATCAGCCTTGGCCTCCTGAGCTGCTGGGATTACAGGTGTGCATCATTGTGCCTGGCTCAAAATAAGAAAATTTTTTTTTTAATATTTATTTTTTAGTTATAGATGGACTCAATATCTTTATTTATTTTTTTTTTTATGTGGTGCTGAGGATTGAACCCAGTGCCTCACGCATGCTAGACAAGGCTCTACCTCTGAGCCACAGCCCCTTATACTTTATTTAAAAGGGTCTCACTGAGTTGCTTAGGGCTTTGCTAAGTTGCTGAGGAGGGTGGCTTTGAACTCATGATCCTCCTGCCTCAGCTTTCTGAGATGCTGGGATAGGACAAGTTCTTGTAGGGTTTTGTTTTGTTTTGTTTCCTCGTACTGGGAGGTGAACCCCAAGCACTCTACCACTGAGCTCTATCCCTAACCCTTTTTATTTTGAGACATCAACTCAGGAGGACTGGGCTGGAATTTGCAGTCCTCCTGAGTTGCTGGGATTTTAGGTTCATCGTTGCACCTGGCCAAGATTCTCACATTTTATAGAACATGATCCAAAGACAAAATCACAGGGATAGGGAACAGGGTGATGGTTGTCAGGGCCTGAGGTTGGGGGCCACGAGGGGTACTCTGGGCTGCAGTGGTGGATGCAACCACATACGGCTTTGGCAAAGCAAGTGAGCCCATGGCTGTCGTGTCTGTGTCTGGCTGAGATTGCTCATTTGCTCATGGGCCGAAGGGACAAGGATGGCCATCTGTTCCTGTGCATCTCCATGATCTCACAGTTTGTTTAGCTGGGAGCAGGAGTTGCAAGGTTTCTGGACAGCTGTGTAGAATTCCTTCATTGTGTCCAGGGGCCCTTGTCCTCATCTTCAGGGTCACTCCAGGTGACCTTCAGGTTTAGCACTGTGACCCCCACAGGCTCAGTAGAAGGATTCTAGCCTGAAAACCTGATTGGCTCCCGTCACCGTTCACCGTCCACCAGGGCAGCCTGCCTTCAGGGTGCTGGCTCGGCAGTCGACACCCTCGTAGCAGCAGTTTTGGCAACAAGGCTTGCCAGCGGTCCCCAGGCTGCTGTCCCATGGACATGCCTTGCCATGGTGCACCTCCTGAAGACCTCTGGGGGCAGCACTGTATGGGGGGCTCCAGCAGGAGACACTTAAGTCTGATGCTCAGCTCTCTATAAGCTAGCTGATTATGAGCCACGTGCGTGTGTGGGCAGTGCACAGGAAGAATTCCTGGAGCATCAAAGGAACACAGCACGTCCAGTGGAGGACAGGGTGCTGGAGGCCTCGGCAGCTCTGATGTCCTTTAGGAATTGAATATTGGGATTGGTTGGCAGAGAAGTTGAGGGCTTTGTGGGAAGTAGGCGGGCCTTCCAGGTGGAGGAGCTCTCCAAAGCTCTGAGTGATTGAATGCTGTCTGCTGTTCAGGATACCAGGGTCAGGGGGGTTGTGTGGGGGTGTGTTTTTGGTTTCTTTTTTTTTTTAATAGTATTTGTAGTTATACATGAACACAATACCTTTATGTTGTTTATTTAATTCTTTTATGTGGTGTTGGGGATCAAACCCAGTACCTCACTTGTGCTAGGCAAGTGCTCTACCACTGGCCCCCAGCCCCCAGGGTCTGGTGTTATTCCATCTATACCTCAAAGATCCTTCTCTGCAGGCGAGTGTGGTGCTGCCCAAGTGTAATCACAGCTGCTCAGGAGGCTGAGGCAAAAGGCTCACAAGTTCTCTGCTGCCTGGGCAACTTAGTGAGGCCCTAAGACCCTAGCTCTAAAAGTAAAAAGGACTGGGGACGTGGCTTAGTGCTTAAGTGCCTCTGAGTTTAATCCCTAATACCCCAAAACATAAAAAAAATAAAATAAAAATTGCTGGAAATGCAGCTTGGAGGTAGAATGCTCCTGGATCTAAAATATCCCTGTACACACACACAAAAAAAAGGCTTTTCTAGTCAATAATATGTGAGTCTCATGGGTGTATCATTCCTCACTTTTCCCTTTGTCTCTAGTGAGGGCTTTCAAGGTTTTGTGCCTGATGGATCACATAGACACACGTGGGGTCTCCAAAGACTGTCTCCTTGGGTTCAAGTTTCAGAAGTAGAACTAGTGAGTTAGGGCAACTAAATGTTCTCTGTGGGCCCTGACACGGGCTCCCAAGTGGCTCTCAGACAGGACTTTGCTGGTCGTGCCCAGGACTGTGCTCGAGGTCGGCGTGCCTAAGGCCTTTGTAACAGCGTGCCACTTCCTCCTGCCGTGCCTTTGCTCACTGCTGGACGGCACCTCTCGGTCACCTCCTCAGCGCCAGGGGAGGAGGACACAGAGGCCAGAGGGGCTCTCCTGGGAGACCTGAGCCCTTGTCACCGAGGACCTCAGCAAGTTGCCACGGGCTTCAGAGGTGGTGTCGGGCTTGGGTTGCTTCTCCCCGTCGCCCTTCCAGAACGGAGGTGGCCTTGACGGTCTCCTTGAAGAGTGTCCTGAGGTGACGAGTTAGCATGCTGAGCTAACTGTTATTTGAATTTTTTTTAATATTTAGTTTTTAGTTATAGGTGGACACAATATCTTTGTTTTTTTATTTTTGTGTGGTGCTGAGGATTGAACCCAGTGCCTTACGCGTAGTATGTGAGTGCTCTACTCTGAGCCACAACCCCAGCCCCTGAAAATGTTTTTTTTAATATTTCTTTTTTTTTTTTTTTAAGTTGTAGATGGACACAATACTTTTATATTATTTATTTTTATGTGGTGCTGAGGACCAAACCCAATGCTTCCTATGTGCTAGGCGAGCGTGCTACCACTAAGCCACAACCCTAGCCCTAATATTATTTTTTTAAATATTTATTTTTAGTTGTAGTTGGACATAATACCTTTATTTCCCTTGTTTATTTTTGTATGTGGTGCTGAGGATCGAACCCAGGGTCTCACACGTGCGAGGCAAGCGCTCTACCACTGAGCCACAACTCCAGCCCAGCCCTAATATTTTTAATTGTAGGTAGACACAATACTTATACATGTGAGGCAAGCACTCCACCACTAAGCTACAACCCCTGCTCAACAGTTGGGGTTTTGTTTAAAAAAAAAAAAAGAAAGAAAGAAAAGAAAGACGAATTTGTTGAAGACAAAGCCAAAGCTGTGGTTTTACTTTCATTAGAAAAAAAAAATTTTTTTAATCTTACACAAAGTACAGAATTTGGCTTTATCTAAAAAAAAAGCAAGCCATGTCACCGTTGTCTTGGTCTTTTTTTTAATATATATGTAGATATTTTTTTAGTTGTCAATGAATCTTTTTTATTTTATTTATATGTGGTGCTGAGGATCCAACCCAGGGTCTCACACATGCCAGGCAGGAGCTTTACCGCTGAGCTGCAACTTCAGCCCTTGTCTCTTTTTTTTTTTAGTTTTATTTTTTTGGCAGTGCCAGCGATTGAGCCCAAGGCCTAGTGCATGCTAACACTGCCTGTGCTACATCCCCAGCCTGCTCCATGTCCTTTAAAAATCATAGACTGCTTCACATTCTGTGTACAGAGGCTGTGAGTTCATAGAACTGCCTCAGACACCTTTCTTGAACGGGTGTACAGGGTGTTATAGGCAGAGGCTTCAAAACGGCTTCACATTATCAGAGGTGGGAACTGCGCTTCCTTCCTCTGAGGTGGCCTCAGATGGCATACCAGTAGCATTTGTATCCAGGAACTGTTGACACCCTCCCCACCTGGAAGCAGGCTTCCCCAAAGAATGGGTGTGGGGACTGAGCCCTGGGGGCCATGCCTGACTCTTCCTGCACTCTGTCCAGAGGAGAGGAGAAGGAAGCAGCGGGAGGACCAGATGTACCGCGAGCGGCTTCGCACCCTGCTTGTCATCGCCATCGTCATGAGCCTGCTGAACTCTCTGAGCTCCAGCGGGGGCAGCATTTCCTGGAACGACTTTGTCAAGGAGATGCTGGCCAAAGGCGAGGTGCAGCGTGTGCAGGTGGTACCTGAGAGCGATGTGGTGGAAGTCTACCTGCACCCTGGAGCCGTGGTGTTTGGGCGACCTGTGAGTCGGGGTGTGGGCGCCCCTGGAGACTGGGCAGGTTCCTTCTTGTTTCGCCCTGCTCCTGTCATGTTGAGTGTGCATCCAGATTTAAAGTAGGACTGGAGTTTCTTGCACAGTGGCTTGCGCAGGTGGAACATGAGAAAAGTCAGAGGGAGCTGGCCACAGAGGCAGCATTGTTAGCAGGGTCACATAGGTGCCAGTGGCCCCGGCAGCCATGGTGGCTGTGTTTAGGAGTAGGTGGAAATAAGTGGCAGAATGCTGACTTGTTGGCATTGGGTCTAAGGACATAAGACCTTCCCAGACCTGTAGGTCTCCAGCATGGGAAGCGTTGGCTAGGAAATCAGAAGATAAGGCTTTCACCGAGGTTGTGCAGATGCAGGTGAGTTGAGGTGGCAGGGAATTGCCCCAGTGGAAAATTATCATAAGCAATGTGAGACCCAGCTGGAGATGGACAATGTAGGGCAGGTGGGGGAGCAGATGATGCTAGCTGCCCAGTGATGTACACTCGGGGCTGGCCAGAGGTGCAGGTTGGAGGAGGAGCGGGCCGCAGCCAGAGGAAGAGAGGGACTGCTCCAGTCCAGCCTGGGCATCCAGCCCTGGGAAGCCAATGTGATCCACACTGCCGGGGAGAGGTCTGAAACTGGCTCAGGGGAGACCCTTGTGCTCGGGGCCCAGCTTGGGGCTCCAGCTGGTAGGAGTGCCCTTCCATGCAAGTGGGAGAGTTCCTCCTGAGGAAGCACCCTGCTTTTCCTCTTCTGCACCAGAGGAGTTTCCTGGGAAGGTAACTGCAGCATGGGGTGGGCTGACCTGGGCAACTCCAGGGTACATGGCCACCCTCACTCACCCAGCCCCACCCCAGCTCAGTGCCATGCTGGCCTCCTTGCCAGCCTGCTTGTCCTTCCTGAGGCAGGGACATCGTGTGTGTAGAAATGCCATCCATAAGTACGGAAGCACGAGTGCCAGGCCTCGGCCTCCTGAGCACACCATGCACTCAGGTGTTGGGCCAAGTTCCCTCTGCCTCCCGGTTGCCACCTCCTCACTTCTTCCGGAGCTCTGGAGACTGTTTGGCTTCCTTGTTGAACTTCTTATTCTGCACACCTGGTGTTATTCTTGGTCAGCCTGAGGCAGAAGCTGACCATTTTCCTGTCTCTTCCCAGCCTTAGTCAAGAATATTGGCCATCTTAAAATTTTAAAAGTACAAGACAACCAGACAAACATGATGGCTAAGTGCAGAAGACGACACAGGTCCGCACACATACCCAGGGGGATGCATGGCATGGTGACTCTGAACCTCTAGGTCCATCCATCTTGATAGTCCTGGGGATTGAACCCAGAATCCTTTACCACGCGCTACATCCCCAGCCTCTTTTTATTTTTTGAGACTCATTCTCACCAAGTTGCCTAGGCTGGCCTTAAACTTGTGATCTTCTTGCCTCAGATGCCTGTGTTGCTGGTATTGCAGGTGTGCACTGCTGTCCCAGGCTTCAGTATATTAACTTACAATATTATGCCGGATTTTGACAAGTCATCTAGTAGAATAGCTCCCTTAAAGTTTTCAGAATTTTATCTTAGCAATTTGGGGCTCATGTGAAAGGGCAGTAGATGTTACCTCCTGTCCTTGTCCTTATCCTATGCTGGAGCTACAGCAACCCTAGAGACAACTAGGGAGTCTCTTTCCTCTCTCTCAGCTGGTGGCCATCCCCAGACAGGCTCAAACGTGAGCTAGACATGTAGATCCTAACGAGGAGGAGTACTAGTTGGGGGATAAGTCTCAGGGAGACCAGTTTTGCAAAAGGCAGTGAGATGTGGATTTAAAATGAAGAGACCCACTTAATTGGTTTTCAGATTCACCCACAATGCCTCTGTTGCTGCAGTATCCTGAAGCGTTTGTCTGTGGCGAGGTGTCTCAGTGATACTGGCATCAGGTCTGTGCTGTATACAGCTGAGCCAGGCACACGTCAGAGGCAGGTAGTGACTTTACAATGCAAATGTCTGCCATCTTAAAGGAAAACATCACTTGAAGCTGGGTGCAGGGGCCCTTGCTATAATCCCAGCAACTCAGAGGCTCAGGCAGGAAGCTCTCAAGTTTGAGGCCAGCCTGGGCAACTTAATGAGACCTTTTCTCAAAAAGGGCTTGGGAATATGGATCAGTGGAAGAGCATACATGGATTCAATTCCCAGAACCAAAAAATAATAATAAAAATAAAAAGAGCAGGGACATGGCTCAGTGGTAGAGCACCCCTGTATTCAATCCCTAGTACCCAAACGAAGTGTTCTGTGAATGGCCTCTTCTTCAGATCCCTGATGCCGTTGATACCGTGTGCTGGAGGCACCTTCCGTGGCCTCTTTGCCTTCTCTCACTCCCTTCTGCTCTCTGCCCCAGAGACTGGCCTTGATGTACCGAATGCAGGTTGCCAACATTGACAAGTTTGAGGAGAAGCTCCGAGCAGCTGAAGACGAGCTGCACATCGAGAGCAAGGACAGGATCCCAGTTTCCTATAAGCGCACTGGATTCTTTGGAAAGTATGTTCGTTGTCCTGGTTGACTCTAGACTAGCCCTGACTTGGCTTAGTGCTGTCAGGAGCAAGGTGGAGGCAGGAATCTTGTGGGGCTGGATTCCGGCTGGAGAGGGAGCTACCAGCCTGCTGGACCGCCTCTCAGTCTCCGTCTGCAGTTGCCTGTGGTGTTTCCTAACTCAGCACGTTGTCAGTGGCTGTCATAGAAAAATGGAAAAGAAAGGGTGTAAGTGGGAATGTTAAACGTGGCGACTTTGGGTTCTGAGAGGAGAAACATGCCTAGGCACTAGGCACCTTGGAACTGACAGGTCCATCAGCCTTAGTGACGTCACTCACATCATTGGCAGCCTTGCTGGGGCCAACAGACAAAACAGCAGTACAAAGGCTTATCGTGGAAAATCCCCCTTCACAGTGATGTGCCTCCAAACTCTGTAAGCAGCTCCTGAAAGCTCTGCTTTGAGGGGAACTCCTGATTTTGTTGTAGATGTGATAGGCACATGGCAGGCGGTACAGACCGGCCAAGACAGCCGTCTCTTTCCTTCTGTGGAGGGGCTGGATCCCAGGGCTTGCTTCTTTGCTGTTGGGCTTGTTTTGCCTTACTCTTTGAAACTGTCGAAGCATAAAGAATCCCCTCTTGGAGAGCCACAAGTTCAAGGCTAGCTTGAGCAACCTAGTGGGACCCTTGTCTCAGAATGTCCCTTTGGCTGGAGACGTGTTCAATCCCCAGCACCAAGAGGAAAACAGCACCTGCTCTAGTTGGCCCTGGTTGTGGGCAGTCAGGTACCTGGGTATCTCTACTGCGTGCTCAGTCTGACCTCTCTGGAAACCTCGCAGAGGAGGGAGGTTGGTGAGAGTGGGACTCGCTCTGTACGGCTCCCAGGCGCAGGGGTCTCCTTTGAGAAGTTGGTGTGGTGGTTCTGGCTTTGTAAAGTGCTTCTGTCAGTTGCTTCAGTGACACTCCGTGTTCATAACTGCCCCTCTCTCTCACCCAGTGCCCTGTATGCCCTGGGGATGACCGCGGTGGGCTTAGCCATCCTGTGGTATATTTTCCGTCTGGCTGGGATGACGGGAAGGGAAGGCGGATTCAGTGCTTTCGTAAGTCTGTGGATTCGAGCCTGCTGGGGGAGTCCTGGGTGCTGTTGCGTATTGTATGCGTGCTGAATCCTCTCCCAGCCAACAAAATAAGGGCAAGTGGAAGTTGGTCTGTGGCAGAACCAGGCTGGAAGCCCAGCATGTTTCCTCCTGAGGCTCTCAGAGCTGGCTGGAGGCCCCTCCCCACTGAGCCACTGTGGGGCAGGACGTGTGGTGCTCCCTATCTTGTCTTGGCCTCCCTGTTCGGGGGCATTTCTCGAGTGTGCTCTTTCTCCTGTGTCCTCTAGCTCCTGGGTCTGGGCTGGGGAGGAGCATCCCTGGGTCCACTGAGCATGCACACATTCAGTTGTCCCCAGATGAAGGCTCTCACTATGAATTTTTTTTTTTTTAGTTGTTGATGGACCTTTATTTTGTTCATTTATTTATATGTGGTGCTGAGGATCAAATCCAGTGCCTCTCACACGCAGGCAAGCGCTGTACCACTAACTCACAACTCTGTCCCCTAGAGGTGTCTTATTTATTTATTTATTTATTTATTTAAAATGTTTTTAGTTGTAGATGGACAATACCTTTATTTATTTATCTTTATGTGGTGCTGAGGATCGAACCCAGTGCCTCACATGTGCTAGGCGAGCACTCTACCCCTGAGCCACAACCCCAGCCCCAAGAGAGGTGTCTTTTTTAAAGGCAAATTGCTAGACAACTTTCATACTGATTAACAGTGAAACCGATCCCTTCCTCCCGTGTGAATGAAGAGTGGCCCGGGAGCCCATCTGTCCCATGTGAATGGGGGAGTGGGCTGGTCCCAGGGACTGTGGGGGGAGGTCCACCTGGATGGAGGCGTGGGGGAGGTGGGTTTCGTGTCAGCCCAGCTGGATGGTAGCTGCCGGCTCCCTCTCCTCTGTCCGGTCACAGCTCCCTGCCTATTGCCATTTCCATGTAGAATCAACTCAAAATGGCTCGTTTCACAATTGTGGATGGGAAGTCAGGGAAGGGCGTGAGCTTCCAGGATGTGGCAGGAATGCACGAGGCAAAGCGGGAAGTCCGAGAGTTTGTGGACTACCTGAAGGTGAGTAGATGTGCATGCCTTCCCTCCAGAAGGCCTAGAACCAGGTCAGGATGAGGCCTGGGTGCTGGCCTGCCCGGCCCACGGGAACACCACACCTGTGCTGGTATCTGTCCAGCAATAGCACTAGCACAGCGCAGGGCTAGCCACCTCAGCTGCCCTGCACCCCTGGTCACCATGAGCCCTGAGCCATGGGGACAGTGGTATGAATTGCCCTGCGTGGACCCCTTAGTGTCCCTGGGACAGAGGCTTAGTGTCATGTGTCCATTGCTCTCTAGAGCCCGGAGCGCTTCCTTCAGCTTGGTGCCAAGGTTCCAAAAGGTGCACTGTTACTCGGTCCCCCTGGCTGTGGGAAGACACTACTGGCCAAGGCAGTAGCCACTGAAGCCCAGGTGCCCTTCTTGGCAATGGCTGGCCCGGAATTTGTGGAGGTCATTGGAGGTAGGTACAGGTCAGGGCTGAGGACAGGCCATTGACCACATGTCTGAGCTGGTTCTTTGAGACACTCTTCCTCAATAGCGGGATTGAAGGGGGAGCCACTAGAATTAAAAAGCAGGACCTGTATCCTTGTGGTAACCTGGGAGGTCAGGTGGTCAGTGCCCTTCGCCTGCATCTTGGGGTGCTGGGAAGATATGCCACTGGTCTGGCCACCCCGGAGCCACCCCTACTGGTGTGTGTCCACTGGGGGACCTATGTGGATGTGGGCCTCCTTGGCAGACAGCTTTGCTGGCCCCAGCACAAGGTAGGATGTGTTTCTTTGTCCATTTCCAACGCTGTCTGCATCCCTTCAGGCCTAGGTGCTGCCCGTGTGCGTAGCCTCTTCAAGGAAGCCCGTGCCCGAGCCCCCTGCATAGTGTACATTGATGAGATTGACGCCGTGGGCAAGAAGCGCTCCACCTCCACGTCCAGCTTCTCCAGCACCGAGGAAGAGCAGACCCTCAACCAACTCCTGGTTGAGATGGATGGTCAGTGCGCAACACGCCCCTCCCTGTCACACACCTGGGGAGAGACTGTCCCACTGTTTTGAGGCTTTCTGGGTAGATAGTGCTGGTCAGTCAGCGTCCAGAGTAGCACTGTGAGAGGTTTTATTCCCCTCAGTCGCTGTCTGCCCCTCCTGCGCTGCTGAGGACAGGGTCATCCTGAGAGCTTCCTCTGGCTGTCAGCACCTTGCAGCATGTTAGTGGACACTTGTCTGTCACCTGCTGCCCTCAGGTAACTCAGGTCTGTTGTGGCAGCCATGGCAGTAGTCTAGCAAGAAAGCCAGGGCCTCGAGGGCCACCTGCTGGCGAGGAGGCCACAGCCTGGTTTCTGTCCCCCATTGTCACAGGCTGCCCGGGGCATGGGGGTGTGGCTCTGCCGCACCCTGGAAGGAAGGAAGCCTTGCAGGGCTTTGCTTTTTTTTTTTTTTTTAATATTTATTTTATAGTTCGTAGTTGCACACAATACCTTTATTAATTCATTCATTCATTCATTCATTTATTTTCTTGTGGTGCTGAGGGTTGCACTCAGGGTCTTGCATGTGCTAGGCAAGTGCTCTGCCACTGAGCCACAGCCCCAGCACCACTACCCCAGCCCCAGGCTTTGCTTTTCTTTGAAGTCAAGATGACCCAGTGAGGGAAAGTTGAAGTCACTTTTCCTTTGAGCTACTTCCACCGACCCTTATCCCTGCCCCTCTTTTAAAAAAATTTATTTTGATGCAGGGTCTCACTAGGTTGCTTAGGGTCTTGCTGAGTTTCCCAGGCTGGCCTGGAACTTGCTGTCCTCCCCCCTCAGCCTCCTGAGCTGCTGGGGTCACAGGTGTGGCCCCCATTTCCAGCCACTTGAACCACTTGTGTGTAGTTTTGTGGCATTGAGTTGGTTGCCCACATCCACTGTTCACACCCCACGTGCAGCTCTGCCCGTGGCACGCTGGCTCCCTCCTGCCCACACAGCCCTGCATTTTCTCTGTGATTTTGGTGACACTGAAAGCCTCGTGGGTGAGTCATACAGGTTTGTCTTGTGTGACTGGCACATTTCACTCAGCACAGTGTCCTGAAGTTCCCCTGTGGTTGGTGTGTGTGTCCAGCAGACCCAGGCCGCTGTGTGCCTGGCTGCTGTGAATGCAGGTTGCCCTCAGTTTCTGCTCTGAAGGTTTGTTGTTAATGTCTTTTATCAGAATTCTGGTTGCCTGTGGGGGTTGTAATTCTTTTTTTTTTTTTTAAGAGAGAGAATTTTTAATATTTATTTTTTAGTTTTTGGCGGACATAACATCTTTGTTTGTATGTGGTGCTGAGGATCAAACCTGGGCCGCACTCATACTAGGCGAGCGCGCTACTGCTTGAGCCACATCCCCAGCCCTGGGGGCTGTAATTCTTAAGGTGTGATTATGGAGGGGAGAGCCCTCCTGTGTTCCTGAAGCTGGCGTAGTAATTGGCAGCAGGCAAAGGCACAGACACATACACATGCACATACACAAGTGCTTGCCTGGTGTAGCAGCGTGCTCGCTTAAAATAACATGGGCTTTCAAAAACTGGCAGCACTTGTAGACGTTCCCTTGTACCTGCCCCAAGCTATCAAGGCCAGGATATGGTGTCCACCTGCCCACTGCCCGTGTCTAGGGCTGCCTGTGGCTCCAGGTGTCTGAGCAGCGGTCCTGCTCCTTGGGTCCCTCCCTTCCCTGGTTTTGAGATTGATTTCCTTGCAGAAGCCCTGAACTTCCTGTTCTGGCTGTGGTGTCCTCAGGATCAGGGTGGGATGTGCTTGATGGGACTCCGGACACACCTCATCCCTGGGGTGGGCTCTGGAAGAGTTGGGCCCCTTCCTCATGGAGGTCTCATCTGGTGCTCAGTTGAGTGTCTGTCCCTGGGCTGCTGTGACCTTAGGTGACCACTGAATGTGGAAGCACTGGTGACCTTAAACCCTGCATGATTCCTGACAGTGATGAACAAGGTGGTGCTGTGGGTTTTATGAGTTCATGTGGCCTCTGGCGCTGCCCCACACCCTGCCTCCTGCTCCTCTTGTCCAGTGATTCACAGGCAGCTGTGAGCACCAAACCCAATGGCCACCTTCCACACCAACAGCAAACACTGCTGGGAGTCGAGTCCCCAGAGAACAGGTGTCCTCAGAGGTGAGGGTGCAGTGGCTCAGGTCCTGAGAGCCAGTGCTGCTAGGGACCCCTCAGAGCATCTTGCAGGCCAGGCCCAGGGGCTGAGGATTCATCTGTGCCCCATGCCTTTACAGGGAGGGGTGCTAGCTCTGCCCTTCTGCGTGTCCACTTCCCCTGGGAAAGCCAGACCTGCCATTCAGGCAGCGGTCTTGCCCATTAAGAGGGTGTTGAGAGACTCTGCCCCTGTGCTGTTGCTTCTCTAGGCCTCCGTGGTCCCCTCGTGTGCGGCAGGGTGTGGTCCTGACCGGCTTCTGGAGGCTGTGTCTCTGGCAGTGTGGCCTGGCTCAGACAGTGTTCTGGAGGTTACTTGAGGACCAGTGGGCAGCTTGGAGTCTTGAAGAACACTTGAAGGCAGTGTGGGCTCAGGCACAGCGGTCTTGTGAGCACGGACAGGTGGAGGGCGCCAGGAGCCGCCATGGCCAGGCCTGCATGGTGCTGACCCTTCAAGATCTTCTCATCAGCCCCAAACATCAGGTGACTCCTTCATGAGCACCAGACTGGGAGCACGGCTGGCTTTTGTGGTGCTGACGGACGTGGAAGTGCAGCCAGCTAGAAGTCTTGAGATGACTCGATGGCCGTGTGCACCCCAGCGTGGGCCTCACTGGAGATGAGGGCGAAGTGAGCTCCGTGTCTCCCAGCAGCACTGTACCAGAGCCACGTCCCACCGCCCTGTGGGACCCTGCTTGCCTGGAGTAGCAACTTGTAGATGATCCCTTGTACCTGCCCCAAGCTGTCGAGGCCAGGATATGGTTGTGGAGTGAGGCTGCAGCGCATCCTGTTGTGTGGTTCTGTGGTCTGCACGTGGCCCTGCATGCGTGGGTGAGCACACAGGCTCGGGGTACCTCGCTCAGCTGGCGCAATCTTCACCCTGAGGCCCACCCACCTTCCTCAGACCCGAGCACTGCAGAGAACATAGCCTCCAGGCAGAGCCTCTGTACTGCCAAGACTGTCGCTTGGGGGGGGAGGGCTCCACCTGCAGCCCACTGGCGAAGGCCTGCTGTGGATTGAGGCGAGCACCCACAAGTCCCTCTGTGCCACGCAGCTGCAAGTCCACAGCCCTTCAGAGGCAGACCTGGAAGTGTGGAGGAGGCACCTGAGTGAGGGACACCTGGTCCTGGAGAAATCGCAGGGGAGGGAAATTAGCCTGGAGGCCTCGGCACAGGGGCACCAGCATCTGTGGGGTTGTTGGGCAGCGTGGGGAGGGAGCAGCGGCCACTGGCCTGAGCACTGCATGGCCACCTGGGGCCAGGTTCATAGAGTCCTCCTGCAAGTGTTCATGCCTTGTGCTGGACAGTAACAGGTGTGTTGTGGACTCTGGTCCCACGTGGGAGTCACCAGAAAATCCCTAGGGGCTGGGGGTTGGCTCTGGGACAGCACTTGCCTGCTAGCATGAGGCCCTGGTTTGATCCTGAGCACAACCAGGAAAGGAGGGCGATCCCAAGGTCTTGAATGTGGTTACGCAGTGGTGAAGCCAGGCAGACAAGCCTGAGGAACGGCTGCTGGGAAAATGCAGAGCTAGGACTTAGGACTAGGAAGTAATAAAGAGTACCTGCTCTGAAGTGTCTGTCATAGACTTTGTCCCATCCAGGCAGCTGCTGTGGAATGCCAAGAGGGCCCTGGCAGCAGTGGTGCCCCACCCGTGTCCTCACAGCCTTTGGACCCCAGGCTTCTCCCGCAGCCCTGCCAGGTGGGTAAGACAGGCACCTGTGAGTGATGCAGGTGACCCACTTTACCACTCATGAGTCCCACCAGTCCCACCACCTGACTACTGTTTATGCCAGGTCAGGTGGTGGCCCAGGTCCAGGTGACTCTGGGGTGCCCAGGCTCAGAGCACTTGGATCACGCTGGGGTTCCACAGTATGTGCTCCACACAGCAGCTCTGACCTTGCCGGAAGCTAGTTAGAGATGCAGCTCCTGGCCCAGCTCAGCCCTGGGGTCAGGTGCACGCTGAGGAACTGGGGTGGCTGGCATCCTAATGCCTGGCTAGGAAAGAAGGGACCTACTGTGTCATGTGCAGGTCCTGCCTATAAAATTGTTTGGCTTTGTTTTGCTTTGTTAAAACCTTAAGAGCAATTTAGGAAGCCCTGAGTAAGTAGTGGAGGATTGTCAGAGGTGACAGCAGGGATCCTGGGACGCTAGGGGAGGAGTATCCCCTGTTAGTGCCTTCCTGAGTACCTGCCATTGTGGCTGTGACAAAGGCCCCAGGGCCTGCAGGAACTGCCCTGGCTTTGCTGCTCGACCTCATGGTGCAAGATGTGCCACCTTCTGTCCTCTGCGCACGTATCTGCGGGAGCAGGTGGGGCTTGTTGACTCGGGGTGTCTAGACATTGCCATGTACCCCTGAGGCCACTCGAGCCTGCTGGGCTCCCATCTGGGAGGATAGTGGGGGCAGTGAGGCTGCAGTGGCAGGTCTGTCTCCAGATGGGCGGGCACTGTCCTAGGTGCCTCTCTCCCTGAGCCTGGGAAATCCCAGGACCCGGGAGAAGGGCAGCCTAGAGCCCAGAAGGCCCTGCACAGCTGTTGTCTGCGTGGGCTGCTTTCACTGTGGGGTTCTGAGAATGCTTCATGGGCTCCAGGGCTGGTCCTGGTCAGGGTTGGTGCTGGTGCTCTTGAAGTGTGTGGCTTGTCCTGTCCTCCTTTCCAGGAGGTCCTCTGACAGAGCACAAGTTATTTGTTTTGATGAAGCCCAGTTTGTTGCCTTTGCTTTTGTGACTCTTCCTTTTAGTGTGAAGTCTAAGAACTCTTTGTTGTTCCTAGATCCTAAAGACTTTCTCATGTGGTTCCCCCTCTACTTGGTGCTAGGGATCAACCTAGAGTTCATGCATGCTAATCGTGAGTTTCTTATTAAAAAAAAAAAGGAACTTTACATTTAAATTTGTGATCCAAGCTGGGTGCAGTGGCTCATGCTTACAATCCAGTGACTTAGGCTGGGCTGGAGAAGGCCGGAGGATCACAAATTTGAGGCCCTCTTTAGCAACTTAGTGAGATCCTGTCTCAAAATAAAATTAAGCCAGGCACTAAACCTAATCCCAGTGACTCTGGAGGCTGAGACAGGAGGATCATTAGCTCAAATCCAACCTCAGCAACAGCGAGCCACTAAGCAACTCAGTGAGACCCTCTCTCTAAATAAAATACATAATAGGGCTGGGGAGGTGGTTCAGTGGCTGCATGCCTCTAAATTCCATCCCTGGTACCCCAAAAAATAAAATATAAAAGGGCTGGGAGCCAGGCACAGGGGTGCACACCTGTAATCCCAGCAGCTTGGAAAGCTGAGGCAGGAGGATTGCTAGTTCACAGCCAGCCTCAGCAAAAATGAGGAGCCAGGTGACTCAGTGAGACTCTGTCTCTAAATAAAATGCAAAATAGGGCTGGGGGTGCCCCTGAGTTGAAACCCTGGTACCAAAAACAAAACAAAACAAAAAAAACGCTAGGGTTTTGTGCAGTGGTTAAGTGCCCCTGGGTTCAGTACCTGGTACAAAAAATAAAAAGCTGAACGTGTTTCCTGTAAGCTCTCATAGACTGCCTGAACACGTCACTTGCCGGCAGCAGCTTAAAACAAGCTTCCTTCCAGAGGGTGAACATGAGACTGGCCTCTCCTTTTCCTTGTGTATGGTGCAGTGGTGGATCTTGGGACCATGCTGACGGAAGAAAGCCAGTCTCGAAGGCAGCGGTCCTGCTGGAGGGTGGGTGGCGATGGGCATCTGCGTCTTGCTAAGTCCACTGTGGAAACCCTGCGTGTGGGAGAGGCATGACCGGACGTCCCCACGTGGTTCCGACTGCACCACTGCTGCCTGAAAAGAGCTGCAGGGCAGCTGGTCAGCTTGCTGTGTGTGTGAGGCCAAAACAGCTTTAGAAAGCGGGGACCAGCCCCAGGTGGTCTGCACCGCCCAGCGCACCTCTGTGGAGCCCATCTGTGAGCCCACCGTCCTGTGCTGGCTCTCGGCCCCCCCCCCCCCGCCCCTGTTTCTCTGCACCATTGTGCCTGTTACCCTGCACGTTTCCCCACTCTCTTATCACCTCAGGAGTCCTGGACCCCTGATGAGAGGCATTCCAGAATCCTGAGCACGAAGCCTGGCCAGCCTCCCCAGGCAGGGCCCGGTGAACTGTACAGGCCCCAGGCTGTTCAGCATCTGCCAGCCTTCAGCCCCCCGAGTCCTCCCTGTGTCCTCTCTGCCTGCACCCAGGCATCAGCGGCAGAGCAGAGAGGCTGGGGACGACTTGGCTCCTTGCAAAGCCAGCCTCCCTTCCACCTTCCAGGCCTGGCCCTGCTGCTGGCAAGGTGGCAGTGTACCTCAGCCTCCCCTCTTGAGAGGTAGATGACAGTGACAAAGCCATCATGGTCCTGGCTTGTCAGGTTGCAGGCTGTAGGACAGGGGACATGGTGCTGGGAGAAGGTTCCTAGCAATTCTGGAGGACTCTGGGAGCAGGCTTTGTGTTGGCTTCCTCCTCTGTCCTGGCCACTGCCATCCCATGAAGGTTGGGGATGGCAGCCTTTGGCAAGGTGACCAGGCCCCTGGCCCAGGCTTCAGGGCTTCACTGTCCAACCTGTTTACAGAGCTGGTTAAGGACAGGGGGCAAGTCCGACACACCTTCAGGACCTCCCTCTCTAGGATTTCTTTTAAGCTTCACTTTCATTAAAAGGTTATCAGCAATTTAAAGTTAGTTCATGACAGTTCATTAGGGATGTCTTAATTTGCAGAAGAGCCAGGTGCAGTGACACATGCCTCTAATCCCAGGAACTTGGGAGACGGAGCCAGAGGATCCCAAGTTTGAGACCAGCCTGGGGAATTAGCAACACCCTGTCTCAAAAGGGGCTGGGGTGTAGCTCGGTGGTAGAGGGCTTGCCTAGCACGCACTGAGGCCCTGTATCCAGGCTACAGCGGCACAAAAATAAATAAATATACAGCTACCACAGCATCTTTACATTCTGAACTTTGTATTAGAGAACTTTTCACACACACCCAGGAGCAAAGCAAAGGGAGCAGTGAGTCTGTGTCTGCCCCACATGCCTCCTCTGACCACACTTCCCACTCCCTTGCGCTCCCCAGCAGATGTTTTGAATCAGATCCAAGGTCTCGAATCTCACATGTTCCGCACATGTCTGTACAGTCAAGAAAACTCGCAGTGTCCACCGAGCTCTCCAGGTTCAAAGCATGGAAGGCCCACCAGGCTCAGGTTTCCCTGCAGCTTCTGTGCCAGTGGTCCATTCCCGTCAGGCCAGTCAGAGCTCACACACAAGGGATCATGGCCTGTCTCTGAAGCCACGTCAACTTCTTGAGGGAGAAACAGGCCAGCTGTTGAGGCACAGTGCTAGTGTGCAGGACAGGGGGCTGCAGCGCAGGAGAGAGGAACGGCCCCTCCCGGGCGAGATGGCAGGATCCCATCCCCTGCGGGCCCCACTCGCCCTGCTTGCCCTCAGTGGATGTGGGACAGTTCTGTCTTTGCAGACCCTCAGGGGAAGTGACTGTTTGGAAGGCAGGAAGGGCTTCACAGCTCAAGTCCAGAGGGAAGTGGGTGTGGCTTTCTCACTGGGCCTGAGAGGGGAAGCCACGCGGAAAAGCCACTGTGTCTAGGCTTCCCACGCTGAAGGCCAAGTGTCCACTCTGTCTCCTCAGGGATGGGCACCACAGACCATGTCATTGTGCTGGCATCCACAAATCGAGCCGACGTTTTGGACATGGCTCTGATGAGGCCGGGCCGCCTGGACCGTCATGTCTTCATTGACCTTCCCACACTGCAGGTCAGCACCTTCCTCCACGGTAGGCTGCCAGGTGGTTGGCGCTCCTTCCCTCTGGGATGGGGCTTGGTGTGATCTGCTACAGCTCTTGCTGGGTGCCAGCTGCCCACCGTCCCTGACTCCTGCTCTCTCAGCTTGGCAGCTTGCTGGTGCTTACCCACTGTTCTGTCCTCATCCTTGGCATTTGGGCTTGACAGGGCTGGTTGACTTGTTTGACCATTTCTGAGACGAGATCCAGGGAAGGAAAATCTGGGAATTTTTTTTTTTTTGGGGGGGTTGCTTTTTCTTCCTTTTTTTGGCCCTGGGGATTTAATGCAAGTGCTATACCACTGAGTCGCATCCCAGCCGTTTTAGTGTTTCAGACAGGGCCTCGCTCAGTTGCTGAAGCCTTGCTAGGAAGTCATGCTTGCATGCCATCTTCCTCTGAGCTCTGTGCAGACCTTGGGATCCTCACCCTTCTTCTCAAGTGCTTGCTTTGCCTCTGTAAGTGGGTGGGGTGGGTGTCCTGGCAGCCCCACAGCCTCTGTGCCAACAAGGGAGCAGCAGCCCAGTGTGCAGTGAGGAGGGTCCCGTGTGCGGGGGCAGGAGGACGGAGGCCTGGGAGCTGGTTAGGTGCTTTGTGTTGCACTACACGGGATGATCCAGAGACGTCTGGCTCTGCACTGGAGGCTGGCTCCTGACTGTGTGAGAAGCATCAGAAAGTTCTAGAACATACAGTGTGTGTTGTGTAAGAATCAGAAGTTTTGCAAAATAAACTCAGCATTGCTGATGTGCTTCATTTTTATACTCGATATGTTTCATTTTCATTTTTAAAAACACTGCTTTCAGCTCTCTAAATTGGTTTTCCAAACCATGGGTGGTGACCTAGGATGCAGCACACTGACTTAAAAGCCAGCGGTTCTTGTGAGTCCTTGCAGGTCTTGGTGTTGGGGTGACCCAGCACTGCTCTGTGCCCTTCTGGCGGGCTTGAGTCCAACCTGTGGCCCTGTCTGGCAGGAGAGGCGGGAGATCTTCGAGCAGCACCTGAAGAGTCTGAAGCTCACCCAAGCCAGCAGCTTCTACTCCCAGCGGCTGGCAGAACTGACACCCGGATTCAGTGGTATGTTCCCAGCCTGCGGCTGGCAGGTGCCAGTGGGTAGGTGGGCAGTCTCAGCTGCACCTGCAGGTGGTCAATTCGGGCCTGGGTGAGGCAGCAGAAGGGCCTAAGGGAGGCAGGCCTCTTCTCCCCCAACAGCAGCTCCACTGGCAGCAGGGGTGAGGTCTCCCCGCAGGGTGCACAGGTGATGGTGAGGTCACCTCTGCAGAGGCCCTGCTTTGTGTGTGTGTGTGTGTGTGTGTGGTGCTGGGAATTGAGCCTAGGGCAGTGTACCACCGAGCTGCATCCCTAGCCCTTTATCTTCTTTGTTTTTATTTCTTTACGTCTGGTGCTGAGATCAAACCCAGTACTTCACATGTGCTAGGCAAGCGCTCCACCACTGAGCCACAGCCCAGCCCTTTCTCTTTTTGCTTCTCATAACAGGATCTCACTACATTGCCCAGGCTGAGCCCTGACTCTCCTGCCTGGACCTCCTGTCACCTTCCCACACTCACTCCCACTTCCTGTGCTGTTCCCCTTTGGCCACTTGCTTTCCCCTCTTCTTTCTCCCTGGAGAACTTTCTTCCCTCCCTTTCCTTCCCATGACCCCCTTGGGGAAGAGTGCGTGCCCACCCACACTGGATTGTGTTCACAGGTGCTGACATCGCCAACATCTGTAACGAGGCTGCGCTGCACGCCGCACGGGAAGGGCACACGTCTGTGCACACCTTCAGCTTTGAATATGCAGTGGAGCGTGTGGTGGCTGGTATGATGTGCGCCCCTCTCTCTACAGGCCTGGGCCTAGAAGTACCCAGGAAGAGGCCAGTCACACAAGATGCGAGAGCAGAGGCAGGCAGGTGGCCAGTGCAGACGCAAGTTTGCTTGGCCAAGCAGCCGGGAGTGTTGCTTTTCTAAGCTAAAGACACTGCATGCTCACATAAGTGCAGACGGGCTCCCCAGGCAAATTCTAAGATACTCTGCACACCGAGCCGTGACAGTGTGTCCAGCCACTGAGTGGTGGCTGAGAGCCACTGCCCACTGGACCAGGCCCAGCATCAGTGGTGTTCGGGTGGGTGGAGGCAGCCTGCCCGGGGGCAGGGAGGGGTGTATACACCTTGCTACTGGCAGGGGTGTCGCAAGTGTGCCCCGCCCCTCAGCAGGGTGGGAGGCCCAGGGCTGACTGCAGCTCCTCAGGGTGGGGTCCGAGGCTCTCTGAGGAGAGCAGGACTGCACCTGGGTGAGGTTAGAAGCTGCTTAGCTCTGCTGGCAGCCTGCACACAAGGTCCACGCATGTTCTTGTCCTCAGGAGCCCAAGACATGCCAGTCTTCTAGAGGAAGCCCCCTTGCCAGTGTCAGAGGGGCTCAGGCCTCCCTTGTGTTGCAGCCCTGCAGGAAGCACGTCCTGGTGACCCTCAGTTTGAGTGCATTCTGGACACATGTCACCCAGGTCCTCAGGGTCACAGGATGGAAACACACAGAGGACAGGATTGGAGCTGCCTGGTCTTCCTGAGAGTTTGTTCTATATGACCAATTATTTTTATGCAAAAGGCGATAAGCCTTCAGTTAATAGCATCCTAGCAGATAAGACCATGGGAACAACAGTCTACTAGAGAAGGCGCTCACAGGACACTGTTGTGTATGTCCTGGCCCTGTCTGTAGTCCCTACTGAACGTGCAGCATGCTGGTTCAGGGGCATCCATTCTGTGAGACCTCTGGCCTGTGGCCTCAGGCTTACACCCCTTTGGTCAGCTGGGTAGAAGTGATCTTAGCAGCCACTGCCAGCGTGTTCTAGATGGGTTCAGTCTCACAGTGAGACGGGGTAGAGGCCGTGTTGCATGCTGCACTAAATACTGTGCACGGAGTGGAACTGGAAGGTACCTGAAAGTCAGCGACAGTGGATGGAACTGCCCCAGAGGGGTGAGCCAGGGAGAGGTGAACAGACCCCGCTAAGGAAGGGGCACCCGGGACAGAGCTGCAGTGGGCCCAAGGGAGCACAAGCAGAGACCCCAGCCCTGCAGGCCCACCAGGGCAGGGAGAGGCTCACTGAAGGGTGGCACTTGTCCCTAGGTCTACAAACACTGGACAAATCCAGCATTTGTCAAAGAAAAAGATGAGACCTCCTGCCACACCCTCCTCAGAGGAGGTGCCCCGAGTGGCAGTTGTGGGTGAGAGGGGGCTGAGCACAGTCAGTGCCAAGGCCCTGGGGTGCCCTGGGACTGAACTCCATTCTTGGCCTGCTTTCAGGGACTGCTAAAAAGAGCAAGATCCTCTCCAAGGAGGAGCAGAGGGTGGTCGCCTTTCACGAGTCAGGCCACGCCTTGGTTGGCTGGCTGCTGGAGCACACGGAGGCTGTGATGAAGGTAGGTTGCAGGTGGCTTGGGAGAAGACCAGGACATGCCATGTGCGTTTGTGCTTCCTGAGAACAAAGCATGTGGGGTTTGCTGTCAGGTTCCAGACAGTGGCAGACACAAGGATGCCAGAGGCAGGGGTGGGTCTGGCATCTGAACCACAGCTTTAGCTCTGGACATGACCAGGGCCGCTACCCTTGCCTGCCCTCAGCTTCACAGTGACAAGCTCCATTCACTGAAGGCTCTGAAGTGACAGACATGGAGCTGAGCTCAGCATTCAAGGGAAAACTCGCTGGTGAGCAGTCCCGGCTTGAGCTTGCTCCTGTCTAATGGTGTTATCTTGTAGCACCTTCCACAGAGCAAACAGGCAAGTCTGAAGGAGCTGGAGGGAGCGTTAAAGCAGCTCTGACAGTTGGGGTGTCCACGCTGGCAGTTTGGTTTGAGGTGTATGCTCAGGAGACACCTCAGCCCCTGTCCAGCTGGCCCTGTCCAGGCCCCCCTCACTGCTCCGTAGTTCACTGTAGCAGATTATTGTCAGGGTCATGTTTGAGCAGCAGCAGGCAGTCCCTCTATGTCTCGGGGAGCATGAGAAAGCTGGTTCTGTGGCATGCTGCCCAGTGGATGTTTAACAGGCACTGAGTGATGGGCCAGGCCCAGGGTGAGGAACAGGGCACTCATGAACTCAGCAGTGAAGCCAAATTTTATTTATTTATTTATTTACTTATTTATTTTTTAAAGAGAGAGAGAAAGAGAATTTTAATATTTATTTTTCAGTTTTCGGCGGACACAACATCTTTGTTGGTATGTGGTGCTGAGGATCGAACCCGGGCCGCACGCATGCCAGGCAAGTGCGCTACCGCTTGAGCCACATCCCCAGCCCCAGCCAAATAGTATTTAGAAAATTAAAATTCATGCAGAAAAACTTGGGCTGGTGTTGTGGCTCAGTGGTGGAGCGCTCGCCTAGCACGTGCAAGGCCCTGGGTTTGATCCTCAGCACCACATAAAAATAAATAAGTAAAATAAAGGTATTGTGTCCAACTACAATTGAAAAATAAATATTAAGAAAATAATAAAATTCATGCAGAAAAACCCATGATGAGCTGGGTATAGTGGTTGCACACTGGGGAGTTTCGTTGACTTGGGAGGCTGAGGCAGGAGGACCACAAACGGTCCCAAGCCTGCCTGGGCACTATTGGGACACCTCAAAATAAAAGATGGAAAGGTCTGGGGGTGTGGCATAGTGGTAGAGCACCTGGATTCCATCCCCAGTACAGAGCAGAAAAAAGCAGAAACAGTAAAGATCTGTGGGAACGAAGCATCGGGATTTCAGATTTCCTTTCCTTTTCAGGATAGTTTGTTGGCTGCGAGTCAGGTGACCTCGTTGTGTTGTGAGAGACTGCTGATGTGGTTGTCTCTATGAGCGTGACTGCAGCAGTCGTGATTATCAAACCATTAATTTGGTTTTAGATTATCGGGGGCCTGGGATAGAACCCAGGGCCTCCAGGCCTCCACCGCTGAGCTAGAACTGCAGCCCTGGTTTCAGACGTTAACTAACCTCTCTTCTGACTCCTCCCTGACCTCTGTAGGTCTCCATAGCACCTCGGACCAATGCCGCCCTGGGCTTTTCTCAGATGCTCCCAAGAGACCAGCACCTCTTCACCACAGAGCAGCTGTTCGAGCGGATGTGCATGGCCCTGGGTGGTCGAGCAGCTGAGGCGATCTCCTTCAGCAGGGTCACTTCTGGTAGGGCTGGCCCACAGGATCTGGAGATGTCAGAGTGGGGTTGGGTTACAGCCTTGGGTTCTGGTGCAAGACCTCAGTGGTGCAAGGGCAGTTTGTTTCACTCACTGTTTGTTTATTTATTTGGAGGGTGGTACCAGGGATTGGACTCAGGGGCACTCGACCACTGAGCCACATCCCCAGCCATTTAGAGACAGGCTCAGCCTCAGCCTCCCCAACTACTGGGATTACAGGCGTGTGCCACTGCATCCAGCCAAAGCACTTGTTTTTAAAAGTTGAGCTGTTGCCAGAGAAGATTGGGAGCTAAGCAAGCCCTTTAAAATAATTATATAAAAAAATTCACATACGTACAGACTATAAGTGCGATTAATTGGTCACAGCTGTATCAAAGTGCATAAAATTGAAGCAGCTTCCCTTTTCTCAAGCGGTTACTCCACTGGGATGTGCAGAAAGGTGACAAAGGGCCCTGCTCCACAACCAGGATGTCAAGCTCAAGGCTGATGGCTCTCCTTACACGGAGTGGCCTTCTGCTGAGAATTGCCATGGGCATGCTGGGCTGTGGCTCAGTGGGCGAGCACGTGCCTAGCATGCGTGAGGCACTGGGTTCCATTTCTGACGCCACATAAAAACATATAATATAATAAAATAAAGGTATTGTGTCCATCTACAACTAAAAAATAAAAAAAAAAAAGAACTTCCAAGGGTGAGCCGGGCAGGCATCCTGAGCTGTCTTTAAACCAGTAAGATCTCTTTTGGGCTGGGGATGTGGCTCAAGCGGTAGCGCACTTGCCAGGCATGCATGCGGCCCGGGTTCGATCCTCAGCACCACTAACAAGATGTTGTATCCACCAAAAACTAAAAAAATAAATAAATAAATACTAAAATTCTCTCTCTCTCTCTCTCTCTCTCTCTCTCTCTCCCTCTCCCTTTCTCCCTCTCTCCCTCTCCCCCCTCCCTCCCTCCCTCTCTATTTTTAGAAAAAAAAAAA